GTTGAAAAGCGCCAAGATGTCCACCCTGCACAGCAAGACACCAAGCTCCATCTTGAAAGCGACACGGTGAAAGAAGCGATGCGCACGCTTCAGCTGTTCGGTATCGAGGTCGCTGAAGTACTTGGCAAAGGCAACGAACGTGTTGACGCTACTTTGGTTCACAAACTTTGCCGAGAACTTCATGAAATCGAACTTGCGTTCAGAAACCGTCTTTTGGGCTTGTTGGAGGTCTTCAGTTTCAGAAACGTTGCCCTCTTCCTCTCCGTCTTCGCCCTGCGTTTCAGCTTTCTTCTTCTTGATCTTTCGGGCTCGCCGTTTCGATCGAATTTGCATATCAACGTTCTGCTTCGCATACCGCTCGAGCATCCGCAAGAACACGTGAGACAGCTCTGTGACTGCGTCAAGATAGCCAAACCCTTGATCTTTGTATGACCTCAGGATCATGACTATCCTGTCATGTGTTGATTCTTCGTAGAAGATACGGTTTTGAATGTTCTCGGCAATCTCTTGGTCTTCCTCAAGGCCTGACTCGGACATCTCATGCACAGTGAGCAAGATTTGCGTGAAGCATTTCAGCCCAGCGTTAAGGTCTCGCCATGCCTTTTCATCTTGACTCTTCTGCATGAAGCGGTTGAGTAGAATGAAAGTCTCCTGATTCATGACTTCGGCTACCAGTCCGTAGCTCTCATCTTCAGCGGATAGAACTTCAGGACTCTTCGGGTCTGCGGCCCTCTCCTTCATCGTCCGCCGCCGTGCGCACTCTGCTCGTAGGAACCACGATACGAGGTAGAAGAACTGCCTGGAGTGTCGTGTTTCCACACGCTCCGTTTCGCGCTCGATAGCTTTCCGCAGATGCAGAAATAGAGGGTTAAAGGACGAGTCCAGGAACTCCTCGACGAATGCTTTGATATGTTTCCGCGCAGAAGAGGTCAGTGGTACTGGGAGATCGAACTCCTCTCTCTCTTCATCACCGGCTTGCTTCTTTCCGGGACGGCGGGGTTTATTCCACTTCTTTGTATCGTCCATCTTCTGCATGCTAGCCTGCGCTTTTCCTAGCACATCTTGCCCAGATATAGTTGTAACTTTCTCGTCGTCCCTCTTCATCCAGATCATCGTTCCGAATCGGTTATGCCGGGTTGGTGCATTGCGAGCGTACCCTGCAAGCATAGCCTTTTCTTTCTGAATCAAGCCCTTAAGCTCATCCGTGTTCTTAGTGTTGAGCTTCTTGTCTTCCATGAACAGCTTCTCAGCATCGATGCCCTTGAGCAGGAAGAACAGGATTTCGAGGATTACGACGTCTTGGGTAACAAAGTCCTCCCCGATGCTTGACGCTATACTCAGAAGAACTTGGAATATATCCTGCTCGTGGAAAGTATCAATCGTTGCAGATCGGGAGACTTCAGCTTCGTCGGTATCCATGTGTGCATTGTTCGGGGGCGCGAGCATGGCGATGTTGCGTATGAAGTATAGTGCGATTCGGATAATGCCCTCGTCTCGTGGTGTGCGTTCTCGGAGGGGTACGGCCATAGAAGGGAGCGCGATCTTGACAGCAGTCTGCAGGGTTCGGTCTCGGTCGAATTGCAGAATAGCACGTTTGTAGCCGATTTGGGCGAGCCCGATATAAGGCCCATGTCGGTGGTGGTTTACGGTCGCTTCAGTGGGGTCGATCTCGTTGGGCCAAGTCAAAGGCACGAGAAGTTCCACTGCGGTCGTCAGTACAGTCTCTATATTCGGAGTACATTTTCTCACATGTCGCAACCGCAATCTTGTGCTTCCAGGCGCTGTCCATGACAGTTGGTGATATCTTGGCCAGTATCTCCAGCAAGTCGCCCTTTACGAGGTTTGCTTCGGCCATACATCGTGCTACATCGCGTCGATTGTACTGCCCGTCGGCGAACTTCAGCCATTTCCGTAGGTCCTTGAGACAGAGCAGGGCGTCGTGTCCGAGTGCATACGTGCCGTCATCGCCAATACCACCGAGCTGATTGTATGTCAGTAGCCATTGTGTCAGTGAAAGGGGATACGTACAGCAGATATCAGACTAGAGACGTGAGCGCGAACTTCCGGATTAACGGTGTCCTGCGCCCAATCGTCCAGCGTTGTCTGAGCCATTGTCGTGGTTGATGCTCAGATTGCCCGCCGGTGTCGCGATGGCCCAAAAGACGCGTCGACGCGTAAAGTGCCACAAGCGGGACAAACCGCGCAAATCCGCCAAGACAAGACTGATCCTCGCGCCTTCCCGCCGCCAGTCAACGTCATGCCTCGGCTAGCCCGCCGCGGTTCTCATCGGCCTGGGGAAATGTCGTTCTTCATCACATGTTGATCGCGCATCTTTCACAATTCGTGCAATCCTTCGATTAGATACACACGATGTTCTCCGTGGCCTCAAAACAAGCCGCCCGATGCGCTGTGCGGCAGCAATGCCGTGCCTTCAGCTCAACTCCCTCTGTCGGTGCTGCCGCTGAGGTCAAGAAGCTGGGTGTTATTGGAGCAGGCCAGATGGTATGCATCAATGCACCAACCCTACAGCTGTCAACCTAACATGTCCAGGGCCTCGGAATAGCTCTTGTAGCAGCACAGAGGGCCTCAGTACCGGTCCGGTTGATTGACAACTCCCAAGCATCAATCGACAAAGGCCTGAAGTTCGCGGACAAGCTCCTCGAAAAGGATGTTGGAAAGGGCAGAATCTCGAAAGATGACGCCGCCGCGGCAAGAGAGCGATTGACTTCCAGCACATCAATGGACGATCTGTCAGACGTCGACTTCGTTATCGAGGCCGTACCAGAGATCCCAGACCTAAAGCACAAGATCTTTTCGCAACTCGCGCAAATCTGCCCATCGCACGCCATCCTAGCCACCAACACCTCGTCCATATCGATTACCAAGATCGCGGCGAGCACTACCACCGACCCAACAGATCTCTCGGCTTCATCGCGCGTCATCAGCACACACTTCATGAACCCAGTGCCCATCCAGAAGGGCGTCGAGATCATCACCGGCCTCCAGACCTCACAAGCTACCGTCGAAACTGCAATCGCGTTTTGTGAGAAGATGGGAAAGATTCCCTCCAAGTCCGCCGATAGCCCCGGTTTTCTCGCCAACCGCATTCTTATGCCGTACATTAACGAGGCTGTCATTTGCTTAGAAACAGGTGTGGGCGCCAAGGAGGACATTGACAGCATCATGAAGAACGGAACGAATGTACCAATGGGCCCACTGCAACTAGCGGATTTCATCGGAATCGACACTTGTCTGGCGATCATGCAGGTCTTGTACCACGACACGGGCGATTCCAAGTACAGGCCCGCAGTGCTGCTCAAGAAGATGGTCGATGCAGGATGGCTGGGAAAGAAGAGTGGAAAGGGATTTTACGATTACTAGAAGAAAGAATATGAGAATGTAAACACTATCGTGGACCACCGTATACCCGTGTTCCGCAGTCATGCCCTGCAACCCGTCGCGCCTATGACATAGCCTGAAGGTGCTCTCCATCAAATCTCATGAGCCCTCACACCCCCAAGCCTACTAACCATCGAACATCATCCTCCGAGAAGTCACCCATATAGTCACCCATATTCGGGATCTCTGTCTTCATCACAGGCCCACCGTTAATCTCCATCTCATCCTCATCATGCGTACCCATCAGCGGCACCGCCGCTCTCGCCAAACACATAAGCTCACGCTCCCTCTCCTCCTCTTCCTCCCTCCTAGTAAAAACAGCCCAAGTCCCCTTCCCCCACAACTTCTCCTTCAACCAAGCCATCTTCCCCCTCTTCACATCATCCTCCTCCATCTCCGCCTTCAACCCAGTCCCAAACTCCAGCTCGCCCCTCTCCCCTCTCTCTTCATCTTCCATCTCCACGCCACTGAGTCCCAAATCACCCATGTCTTCACACTTGTGGATCAGCGGCGTAACACCCAGTTTCACCAACTCCAGAAAGTGAGAGTTGCGCATGTTATTTCTGGCTTTCTGGGCGGTGGGGAAATAGTAGGTTTTATTGACGGGTGTGCGTAGTTGTGCTCGCGTTCTGAAATGTTGGAAGAAGGGCTTCTTCTTCTGTGTGGCGCTGGTGTTTGGCGCCTTCTGTGGGAGTGATTGGGATGTTGGGAGGTATTGGGTTTTGGCATGGTTTTGCGTGGGTGGGTGAATGGTGAGGCGGCATCCACGCTTGGGCTTCTTTGGCGATGGTGTTTTGGGGGGATGGATGATTAGCCGGCATTTATGTTTGGGCTTCTTGGCTGATGGTGTGGTGGGTGGTGATGCTTCATCGCCCATTTGAGGAGGCGAGTTTGCGACCATGCGGTCGGGCGAGAGGAAATGGTTCATGATGCTTGGTTTACCGGTTTTTTGTTGGTGTTGGATGGTTTAGTTGGGATTCAACTTTCTTTGCGGAATTTTGATGTAGAGGTTTGGTGTGATGGTATGGTCTTTGGAAGTGGACATGGACATAATTTATCTATACCGCTAGCTCGGTATAAAATATGTGAGCGCGCATGGAAACCAAGGTGCGCACATGGTAAGCGGAACTAGTCATAGCAGTACCATAGTTGCATTGCTGAGATTTTACATTTCTTGCCATATACATCCTACATCACTGGCCGAGGACCTCGAAGTGGACACTCACGTACAACAATATCAGGTACCGTAGTTGCGTCGCGTGGATACTACATGTATCTGCCATATACAATTTATATCACTGGTCACAAATGTCAAAGTGGACCCTTATGTGTAATGAAGTACCATAGTTGCCTTGACTAGTCTACATTTTTCTACCCCAGCACCGCCAATCAGCCAAATGCTTAAAACAATCGCAATATTTCCCAGCCGCGACGGTCGCAGTCACTGAGCCCAAGCGCCGTACTCCTCAAAACAAATGCCGCAATCCTCAACCCAATGTCGTAATATGCTCGCCTCGGAGCCCATCACCGCACCCCTGACTCATCACACTCCATCCTGCCCAGTGGACTCCGCAAACCGATCCGTCTTCGCCTCCCTCCAATCAGGCAAAGTCTTTATCTTTGCCTTGACGTCCCTTCTGGATGATCTCGACTTTCAGATCCGAATCAGCCATGGACTTGCGCTTGAGACTTTTGCGGTCACGAGGTTTTCCATTTGACGAGAAAGCTTCCCTCGCTAATTCTTTGGCGTACGCACTTTCTGTGATCTTCCTGTTTGGCTCCAAAAGTGCCTCAATTCTGACTTGTTCGCGGTGCTCGGCTTGTATTTGACTGAGTGACTTTGGCAGCTTTTGTGCCGGTTGAAGTGGGAGCGTCGCGAGTAAAGCGTCGACACGGGCGGACCTGCTGATTGGCGGTCTGATGATGTTGTCTGACGGTGCTGCAGTTCCGTCGGTGTAATGCCTCATAAGCTTATTGTTGTAGGCAGCGTTGATCTCTTTTAGCTGAGGCGGCGGCCTTTGAAGATTGGGTACCCAGCGTTTTGCAGCGGCTTTTCGGAACTTGAGCCTGCGCTCTTCCTCTTTGGAGATGTCTCGCTGAGGGATTTCGAGCTTCAGACCCATTGTAGACTTGTCTGGTGATGATGGTGTAGGAAGAGACTGAACACCCTGCAGTCTACGTTGACGTTGTGTGACCTGCTTTGCACGCTGTTGACTTGATGTAGTCTGCAGACCTGTTCAGTTTCAAAACTCTCTTTGTGTAAGATGGGTGTCTCGATTGGTGAGGCGCTGCGGGAGAGGTAAGCGAGTGTTGTAAGGGACCTCGAGTGTAGACACTGTGAGTAGGATACTAGGAGTCTTGAACCAATATTTTAGCATTGTGAGGTATTTATAAGATATGAGCGTGGGGCGACTAACGTTTTCAGGTATCGAGGTGAAGTTTGTAAGCATATCTACATCTTGACCACTCGTGACCTACGTCCTTGTCATGCCGCAGGCTCCCACATAGCAATTGAAGGACATGCTTCCAGTGTGCCTATAGATATCTCCTTCACCGTTACTCCTCCTCACTCTCATCCTCGTCTCTCACCTTGTCGCAGCCACAAGGCCACAAGTGCGCGACGGCATAGCCAGGGTACTTCTTCGTGAACTCATCGTACCAAATTTGCCATGCATCCCATGTATCCTTGGTCTCAAGATCAATTGCTATCCCCTGATTCGGCTTTGGATAGTGTGGGAACTGCTCGTACATCGTGCTGCGGAAGTTCTTGAACTCTGACCACTTGAGATAGTCGTCCGGTTCAAATTGATGACCCAGGCCCGTGCGCCGGTCGTTATCGGCCTGAAAGTCACCTTTGCGTCCGTGGTTTCCTTCTTTCAGATATGGGACGGGAGGAGATTGGTGGTGCTTGGTAGCGCGATGTGGTACTAGGCAGCGTGTTAGCGAGGTGTGTTGTATGGAGCAAGCGGAGTGAACAGCCGAGATAATCTATGTTTGGACCGCCCCAGGGGGTATTCAGATGACCGTAAGGAAGTGTGCAGCGAATGGAACAAACCGCATTGCACCAGGAGTATCCAAAGAAAAGCTGTTACTTACTTGTGGTCTCATGGAAGTACGTCTCGCCCTTGCGATAACCTTGGCCAGATGTCGCTGTGAGCACGCGATCCTCATTATGTCCGCGAATGATTATCGAAGAGCGGTCGGGATCCAAAGGATTCATGCCAGTGGCCTGCATGAAAGCATCTTGGCGGGTCCCTTTGGCGTTATATACCGATGTTTGCCTTTCCGTTTGCGAAAGCGTTGGTATGTTGTAGTCGACTAGGGTGCCTGTGAACTCATCCTCAGCCGAATGTCCAGTATTTGCAGCAGCCGTGTTTGTTAGTGCGTCACGCTTCTGAAGCTTCGCGTGTGGCCGGCCGTCCGGTGGCTCATCAGGTGCGCTCCTCTTCCGGTGACTAGATTGACGGGAGGTACTACTGTCTTTGATCGTAATTGGCGAGTCATGTTTTCTGTTGACGGGTGTAGAGGGTGTATTGGCCTGTATTGGTGTTCTCACACTGGAAGATGTCGGGGTGGTGGGGGCTGGGAAGGAAATGGCGTCATCAGCATCATCGGCTTCTTCTTTGTCATCTGCGACTTAGACTGTCAGTATACATGCGCGCATTCAATACGATGGGAAAGAAACCTACTAGACAATGTCGACTTCGGATTGCGTCCAAGAGCAAGTGTCTCCTTCTCTTCGATCCAGTTCGCGAGCCTTGATTTCGCTAGTCCCTCGTCCTTCAGCTCTTGCCTCTTCTCCGCGCCTGCATACTGCTCTACAATGTCAAGTAAGTCGTCCACGCTGTACTTAAGCAGACCCTTGGATAAGCGAGCATACGGCCTCTTTTTGTTGCCTAAGCCGTCTTTATTGTACAACGGGATTTTCAAGCCGTTCGCCTCGTAGAACCTAGCCCCAGAAGCCCGCGTCGGGGTGGAAGGTGTAGCTGGGGTCGCACTTTTTGCCCTTGCCCTCGCAGTACTCTTCTGCTTTGGAGGACTGCTCGCGTGGGATTCAGGAGCTTTTTTCTTACCCTTTCCTTTGCCTTTCCTCGGCGTAGCCAAAGTCATGGCGCGCGCGACTTCATTGTCGTCGATAATGTTCGTTCGGTCCATGGTGTCGCTGAGTTAGACGGTGGCTGCAATCGCTATAGACATGCGAGAGTTTCGAGGAGGTAGAACGAGAAATTGAGCAGTGTGAGATTAGTGGAGAGGCGGAAATTTGCGTTTGTCTTGGACTGCATTCACAATGAGGTGAAGGTCGTGATTACACCGCAAGAAAGTCTGAGCTCCGCACAGTACACACCTTCACTCTCGAACCGACCAAATACCGCGCGCTCATAGTGTCCCTGAACAACCAATGAGCGGGTGTTCATATGAGGAAGCGTGCAGTATTCTAACTGGCCGGGCACAAAGCAGTCGCCTTATGTACAAAGCGATTGATAGACGTGACCAAACGGTGATCATGAAAGCTGGCAAAACTACAAAGAAATCGCGTTGACACAGTGCGACGATTGAAAATACCGAAAATCGAAGTACACACTCCCAAAGTGTGTAACGATGTTCTGAAGCTCGGGTAGCTTGCATGCTGTCGCATGTCGAATGTCAGCCTTGGCTTGAGTGTATCGCAACCATGGTTCTCAGTAGCTTGCGTGATAATCTGCTCTTTTTCTCGTGCTGTCTGCCATGTTCTTCAGGGCACATTACGTCGAGGTATTGACAAAACATGGGATGAGCACCATGTATCCACGCTCTTTTTTCACTGACACTATGTTTGTTCTGCCCTACCTGCTGAGTCCAAGTATTGCAGATGCTCCGCGGCGGGCGAAGTAATCCAAGTTTCCAAGGAGAAGAAGTAAGGAATACTATAGTGATCGAAATATGGAGCAGTGGCATAAGTTAGTGTACAGACTCTGCTGATTTGGCCACAGCGTCTGATGCGTCATCGCAGTACCGTGTTTGTCGGTGGCGGCTGACCGTTCTCCCGTGGACATACTGCCGATGTAGTGTAGATGACCAGCATCGCCCGTATTTATAACCATAGACCAGGGCATGTTGCGATGGAAAGTCATAATCTGGAGTTGGGACGTCTCGCATCGCAGAGTCGAAGTTGGCAAAGAGTTGCGGTCGGCGTGCCACGTGAGACGAGGCGGAACCGACCGCCGATCTAAAGGAGCCGAGGCATACCCGCCTCCAGCTTTCGGATCGTCATTTCGCGACTCTCCAGTTCCATCACCAACTCCAACCTGCGCGTGCTACCGGCATTGCGTATCGTGTAGCCAATATGGTCCGCGAGGATATAATACAGTCGGCCGTGTCTTGTAGGTTGACACACGACACGCTGTACGCGACGATACTAACAGCCGCCAGTCCTCCAGGACCCGTCCGTTGCCAGCGCGCCCCTTGAGAAGCGCATCGCCTTCCTCCAATCCAAGAACCTCACACAAGAAGAAGTCGATGTCTCGCTCGCGCGTGCAGCCGAAGACCCCAGTTATGCTTCATCGCCTCCACCCCAGACATCCGCAGTAGCCAGCAATGCGTACAGACCACCGCCGGCAGCCCCGTATGGGAGCTATCCTCCCCAACAATACTGGCAACCGCCCCCGCCGCCCCCGGAGTAAGCATAGAGATTACCTACATCCGGTTCCGATGCTGACAGATACAGACCGCCGAAACGCGACTGGCGCGACTACTTCATCATGGCGACGGTCATGGGCGGTGTAGGATACGGCCTCTACTTCACAGCGAAACGATACGTCCTGCCCCTGATACAACCACCTACACAACCTCAACTGGAGCAAGACAAGGCTTCAGTCGACGAATCCTTCAAGCGCGCGTTCGATCTCCTCGAGCAGCTCAACACCGACACAACCGCTCTCAAGGCATCGGAAGAGGCACGGACAACACGACTGGATGACGCGCTTGGTGAGGTGGAGAGTGTTCTGACGAGCCTCAAGGAGTCGTCGAAGAGACAGGGAGACGACAACAGACGTATCGAGGATGACGTCCGCGGCTTGAGGGACTTGATTCCAAAGGCATTGGACTCTCAGAAGGAGTCCACCGACAAGAGGCTGCAGGAGCTGTCGACCGAGCTGAAGAGCCTGAAGACGTTGATTGGCAACAGAATGAGCTCTCCGGCACCACCACGCCCACAGAGCACCTCGGGCTACTACGGACAAGCGCAGTCGCAGTCGCAGACACCCAGCACAAACGGCACACCCGCTGCTTCGGCATCGACACCCCAGCCGTCCTCTACTCCTGCGTCCAGTGAGCAGACCAACGGCACGAGCGCTACCGAGACTCAGACAAATGGTAGCGCAACGTCCGCGCCCACTCCCAGCCCTGCTACCGAGAAGCCTCTCCCTGCGTACGGTAGGCCATCGCCGGGACGCGCTGCTATCCCAGCATGGCAAATGGCTGCCGCGAAGAAGACCGAGGAGGCGAAGAAGGACACGAGCGAGAGCGGAACCGCGGTCGATGCCGGCGCCAGTGCGTAGAATGATCGTCGCTGTATTATCTGAGAAACGTTGTGCATCTTTGGCGTAGTTATTCTGCTATGTATTATTTGGACAGGGACAAACTCATGGTTACGCTTTGAAAATCAAAATCTCTGTGGACTGCAATGTAACGCCTTGGAAATGCTACGTCCTATCTGCGATGATGGGTTATCCTGCAATTGGCTAGGGTTCTGCGTATGTTCACCCTGGACCTACCTAGAGCAAGACTGCGCATGCACGCAATGACAACGCCCCAGTTATCGCTAAAAGAGAATACATGTGCATCTCGAATACAATGATGTGGTTGCTCTATCGCTCGCATCCCTACCCCTAACACAGGCTAAGTCGCTTCCGGGCCAACGTGATGTCGTGACGTCGCGATGTCGCGTTTCGCGTCAATGCTCCCACCTAACGTCGACCAGCCATCTCAAAACAAACTTCCAGCCTCCAGCGTCATCGACATCGCACAGAAACCGATATCTCATGCACGATCGATCTCGCCAATCTGTAGCTCAGACAAGAGGCTCCACACTCCCCTGACGCTACGCTTGTGTTGACGTCGACTGTCACCCTCTTTCGGCTGCAGGTGCGATGTTAGCTCTGGGTCCATGGGCCATCGTGCTGTCCCTTGCATGTCGGGTGTCCAGTCCCCGTAGCTTTGTGGAGGCATGACGCAGTCTAGGGAACGTTCCGACAGACAATATTGACGTCTGCGTAGCTTCGCATAGCATCAATCGCATCGTAGAGACACCGGCGCACTGTCAGTCATTTAGAAAGAGAAGGAGTTGTGAAGGGCTGCATTGCATTCGTTGCATTGGCCCGCAGCAACACCACCGCAGTAT